TAGCTATGTAAAGGTGACTTTATCTTTGCTCTTTGAGGGCACTGAAATTGTTTTTGGAAAATGTTCTTTGAAATTTTAACATATCCATTTCTTTACATTTTAATTTGCTTCAGCAGAGAATAACCTCTTTACTCTATGAGAGGCAGGTAAGAGGCAGGTGAAAGTGAGTAATAGAAAAAAGAAATTAATCAGTGATTAGCTGGGCAGAGATCCCCCCCACCCTTTCATTCGCTGTCTTCAAACCATGCAGTCAAGAGGTTGCTGTACTTTGTTTTCAAAAGCTGTTATATCAGAACAACTCCCAAACCTGAGCTGAGTGTCTATATTTTTCCATCAGCAGAACTGTTCTGATGCCTATATCTTTTGGTTCAATCACATTGTGAAATAAGCAGGCTCATACTTTCTGCATTTTCTTTGAAGGAAAAAAGTCCTGCTTTGTTTTCTTATCCATACCACATCTCTTATGATAAGCGTTGGTAGCTGGCAAGGTATCTTCAATAGAAGAGAGAATTTCAGCATGTCTGACTTGTCACAGAACCAGATAACAAGGCCTGCTGAAATTCTCTCTTTCACATAACCATTAAGGTATAGGAATCCTCACCACTTTAAACCTTGACAAATGTACTTACGATTTTTCTACTGGTTAAATCACTGGGCCCCTTCCCCAGATTGACTCCTTCCCCCTCCAGTCTGCCCTAGAAAAACTGGTATAAAATGAACCTTGCTTAGCTGGTTTTACCAATATTGCTTTTTGAAACATGTTTAACCAACAGCTTTTTTATTTACCTATAGGCTACATAAATAGTATAGTGCTGTTGCAGTGTAGGTAAATGGCCTGTCATAAGTCCATGGTTTTTTTGTTGTTGTGTTAACTGTTTAACATAAAAACAATTCACCTTGTTACACCTGTTTCTTTGCCTGTAGGTTAGGTAGAAGGCAAATCAAAGGCCTCTTAAAGGAAGATTTTCTGGGAGAGAAAATACCAATATGATACTGCACTGCTTTGGGAGCCTCCTGGTATATCCTGTAATTGCTTGATATTGTGATTAGTTCTGCTGAAAATTCTTTTCATTAAGACATTAGTTGAAACCCTGCTTGCACTGTGGGGAAAGAAAATAGTGCTGGGGAAACTGTGTTCTGCTCATTGCAGATGAATTCCCATCATTCCTAACTAGTCTGTCCATTCACAAGGTTTCAGAAAAGTTCATTAACATCTGAGGGCTGAATTTTCCCACCACTGAAATATGCGTATCGAAACACAGAGTTGGATCGTAAGTTAGTAGTTTATGGGCAAGGCAGTTAATTTAGGAAAATTTAGATGTTCTGTTGAATTTATGTCATAAAATGCCATTGGTATCAGTTTTTCAAGTTCAGTTAGATAAAAGCTTTTTGCTCTAAGTATTGACAGGTCTGACCTATTGGCAAATATAAAATCCTCTATTTTGGACTGTGTATTTTTCCCATATCTGTTCCTTTGGATAATGTTAAATTGAAAGGCTAGGTGTGTTTTGAAGAAGCGGTTCTTTTGAAGAGAAACGTACATGAGATTTTAGCTAGATATACTCTGCCTAACAGACCTGACTGGCTTTGCAGCAACTAGTATTTACTGATCTTGCCAAATGGGAAGGGCTGTTTTTTACAAACCACACTTGTGGGAAAATAACTTTAAGTATTAGAGTTAAAAAATAAATTCTGCTCGTGGGGATCCTTTCATGCTTGCTTTTTAATCTCTAGTACAAGAAATTCTAAAGTTCAAATGGCAATATAGACATATGCAGTGAATTATGAATGCTTTTGAATGGTTTGATTTTCTTGCATAAATAATGGAAGTATTTGGGCCAAGTCCACTGTTTTACCTGGATCAGGAAAATTGATCTTAATCACATTTAACAGATCAGGATTGTTTAAATGAAGAATAACTAAGATGTGTTCTTGTTTGCTGTGTAGAACCAAGCCAGACTTTCTTAAGTTTGGGTAAAACAGGAATAGTATGTTTATACAAGCCAAGACTTCGTGTTTATATATACAGGCAGTCCCCACATTATGAACAAGATAGGTTCCATAGGTTTTTATGTTGAATATACAACATTTTAAGTTTAACTCCAGCTATATATATATATATATAGAAAGAGAGAGAGAGAGAGAGAGTGCGCTAGCATTGGATAGCATAGGGAAAGGTTAACATCCATGTGGTGTTTGTTTTGCTATCTGTGCCCCTGTTCAGAAGATTTCACCTCACTTTCTATCACTGATATATGGATTTTGAAAAATGTGGCTTGTTGTGGAAACGGGGATTGGCGATAAAGCTTCGGTTGAGACATCTTTTCCCATCATAACTCTTTCAGGAGCGAATTTCCCTTCCGAGGGGTAGATTTCTTAACACTGAGTCGTATATAGGTCTGATGTTTGTAACTCGAGTACTGCCTATCTATAGAAAATAGAGAATAGCAACTGATGACTGTTCAGCCATGATTTTAATTTCTGACATTGTTCCCAGCTCCATAAACCCTGCCTAAAATTGAGGATTAAAACCTGTCTCAGTTGCTGGTAATTACAAAACAAAACTGTTGATTGCCCATACTTTCTCACAGCTTTGTATCTCATTCCAATATCTAAAAGTGAAATGCCTCTTGTTGTAGAATGTATGAAAATTTGCCAGTTATATTGGATATAATTAATTATTTTAAAATTAGCTCTGAGCAAAATGGAAAGCATTTTCTTGTCACTCTTAATGTATAGTGGCTTTCCAGATAATGTTATGCCAGAACATTTGTACTGGTTTAGCCCTCTTTAACTTTAGTCTTCCACTAAAACATCTCACATCTTTTGTGGTCTTTTCTTTCAGTTACAACAAAGCATGATTTATTTATACTTCTCTAATATGTAAATTGTCAGCATTGGTTAATTTAATGTTTCCCATGCATATATTTATTCTTGTCTCACACCAGTGATAGAGTTGCACTTTACATAACAAACAGTGGATATTATAATGGTATTGTCTTCAGAGTGAAGATAAACTAGGTTTCTTAAAAAGAGAAATTTGCATTTTGAAACATTAATCTGACAATGAGAGAGTGTTAAAGTTGCTGACAGCATAATTGTTGTCTTATATGGAAAAGCCGTTTGTTTCTGAATAATTATGATTGTATCTTGACATTAGGGGTAGCAAGTTCAGGCTACTGCAAAACAAGACAAAGTGTCAGATTGCTAAAAAGTTTCAAGAGTTTGGGGTTTATTTTTGGTTATCTGATTTCTTTCTTCCAGTATGTTCTCATTTACTTGGGGGCAAATTTATGAGATGGTTGGGAGGAACTTGTATTGACATACACCCAGCTTTATTGTTCTTTAATGTTGTCTTCACTCTGAGCTGGATTCCAGCTTAATGGTAGTCAAGCATAGACATATAAATATTTTGGAAGGTACCCGAAGGACCACACAAAATGGTGACCCTGAGGGAGTTTTGAGGTTATGATCCCCAAACCGATGACTTTGTTTCTCTATAAAACGTTTTGTAATCTTGGAAGCACTTTTAGATTTAGAATCTGAGGGTAATTGAAGAGGCCATGGGAAAAGGAGGGCTTTGGTGGTGGTAATTCAGAGGAAATGCAGTAAAAAGAAAATATCTGTATTTGCTGTGTCAATAATATCCCTGCTTACATAAGCACTCCTATCAGGAAACAGGAGCAAACATTGCTTTGAGGTTTTAAACCTTGTATCTATATCTTCTAGCCTTCTCTGAATGTATATGTGTCCCATGATTATTGTTATGACTTCATAATAGTGAATCCCTGGGTTCGTGATTTAGAGAGGTAATTAAAATTCTCTTGTAGGAACCTTTATTGTTCCCCCTTGAACTATAGTTCCCAAAATGTCCTGAGAAGAGGGATTGAGTGTTAAAAGGAATGGCTTGGGAACTGCTGTTCTGAGGAGTGCACTAGAAAAATTTGGTCGAAACTTTGGAATATCTTGCTCATTCCCAAATCCCAGGATATGTAAAGCTGGAGCCATGACACTAAAAGTAATGTCAAACCTAGATACAGTTTAGGATCAAATTAACTGTGTTGCTAAGACAAATTTGACCAACATAGAAAAGTTGTGTTGCTGGAATAAATTCTTTGGTCTAAAAAGTATACAGACATATGTGAATCCTATTATTTATTTTTAAACAGTTTCTTTTAAAAGGACTATATACATTTTTCAAGTGTAAACAAAAACTTCTGTTACAGATACACATTTTCCAAAATATCTTGGAATTGCCACTTTGTCTTTTGTGTAGGACTGTCCAAGTTACAGTATTTAAACAGTGTTAGCTTCCATTGTGCTCTTGAAAAGTTTGTGACTATAATTTGTTGCACAGTGTTTTGTCTGCTTTTAACCTACAGGTGGTCCCCAAGTTCCGAACATTTTTTTTTAAGTGTAACTCCAGCCATTTATGCTTTGGATAGCATAGGGAAGGGTTAACACCCCTGTGGTGTGTGTTTTGCTGTCTGGGCCCCTGTTCAGAAGATTTCCCCTCACTTTCTGACCCTGTTATAATTGGATTTTGCAAATTTTGGCTTGCCGTGGAAACAAGGATTGGTGATAAAGCTTTAGTTGAGACATCTTTTCCCCATGATAACTCTTTCAGGAATGAATTTCCCTTTCAAGGGGTCGATTTCTCTCACTTGCTGTTGTCTCACCCTCGTTCTTAACTCTGAGTCATTTGTTAGCCGGATGTTTGTAATGTGGGGACTGCCTGTATTATACTGTGGAATTTGTAATGGAAAACCTTGAAACAGTCTTATGGCAAAAATACCAGTTCACAAAAATACCAGTTCACAAAGACAATGTATATAATTGTTGAGCTTGATGGGAACCTTCCAGATAAGAGTTTAGCTTCTTTTGCAGTAAGTTTACATTTCCCTTTATCCAAACTGGTGGATAAAATGGTTAGGCATATTATTGCTACTTTCTCACTTGAGAAAATAAAGTTTAATAATATAACAAAATGTATCCTTGGCTTGTAGGCAGCAATTTGCCCTTCATCAAGCTCTGGTCTGTCCATCACATGCCTGGTCAAGGCTATTGCAACAAAGATTGAGCTGCCCAGATTCCTCTTCATTATCTGCAGGGGCAGCAGCAACAGCATAATGCTCTGCAAGGATGTTTCTTTCGATACTTTGCTGCCAGCCGGAACTTTTCTCTGGAAGCCTGAACAAAGTCCTCAGTATTTGTCACTTCCATTTCAATGCTGTTGATCATTTCACCTTGCTCTTCTACCAAAAGTGAGATTTGGATGAAGAGGCCTTTTAAGTCCTTTACCTGATTCTCCAGATTGACCAGTTCTCTATGTCTTTGTTCAATTTCAGTCAGCTGAGATTTAGTGATCTTGACCTCAGTGAGCAGGTTTTCATTGAAAATTTCCCATTTCCCTTGTTGAACCATCTCATTCAATTCTTCTTCCGACACTTGTTTTCCTGCTACTTCGAGCTGACGCACAATAAAACCTGCACATTTTTCTTGTTTGGCTGTTATGGCATCATTGTACAGAAACATGATGTTTTGGAAGCGACGGAACAGGACTGCCCGCTGAGAGCTAAGAACCCTTGCAACAGCCGATGATGAACCGTATTCTTTTTCTGCCTTCTTCACTGTTTTTGACAAGTCGTCCAAGCATGTACTAATGTGTTCTGCTTGAGTTTTTATTTCTCTTGTGGCACTGCATTCCTTTTTAAGCACACTGAATCTTCTCATAGAAGCCACCAGGCTCTTTTGCTGCTGACTGAATTTTTGAACATCTGTGGCCAAGTTGTTAATATCACAGTGAAGTCGTTGGATTTCACTCAGATACCTTTCTGTTACTGGCTCCTTCTCAAAAATGACAGCTGTTTGCTCAAACTCTCCTTCCTCAGCCACAATACCAGGAGACCTGCTACTTTCTTCTAGGAGTTGAAGTTGCTTTGCTTTAAGTTTAAGTTCTTGAAGACGGTCTTTCATTTTCTGCTGAAGTTGTTATGGTTGTATAGTATTAGCCCAGATAGTGGTATAAACCTAAGAATGTAAAATCATCTCAGTTAGTTGTTACTTATACTGGCTCTTATAAGTATGAGAGAAAGGTTTTGCAAAAAAAGAGAAGTCAGGGCAATGCTGCAGCACAAGTAATAAAAATGTACTACATATGATGACAGACATCTTTTCTTAGACTCAGTAAGTGAGATATTTGGTTTGAGAAGTTATTTTGAAATGTATCTCATTTGAAAAGTTTTGAAATGTATCTTATAGCCTAACTCTTTTTGGTCAAGCTGAAATTATTTGCATATTCAAGGCAGCATGGCACAGAATGTATGTAACTTTTTGTATTTCTTAATCATGTTGCAGAGCTTACTAGGTTTGTACAGTCCCTTTTGCAGAACCCGTCTTTGTCGTATTTGGCACCTAGATTGAAGTAGAAAGTACCATTTGGTTTTTAAAGAAGCTATTTGCAGGCTTTCGTTTGTGTGCTTATGAAATCCTACATTTGAAAAGTAAGGATATAGAAGAGAAAACCTGGGAGGAAGGACTATGTAGCTTCATAACAATATGCTGACCATTTGTGGGACGTTGGAAATGTGTCTGCATCAGTCCTTATGAAGGGAATTTTTTTTGGTTGCTTCTGGTATGAGAGAATTGGCCATCTGAAAGGACATTGCCCAGGGTATGCCTGGAAGTTCTGATATTTTATTATCCTTGTGGTAGGCTTCTCTCATGTCCCCGCATGGGGAACTGAAGCTGACAGAGGGAGCTCATCCGTGTGTCCCAGATTCGAACCTCTGACCTGTTGGTCATCAGTCCTCCTGGCACAAGGATTTAACCCATTACGCCACCTGGGCTCCTATGAAGGGAAGTGAACCTGTTGTTTAAAACTTTTTTAAAATGGGAAATCTGGCAGTTCTACAGCTCTAAATGCCAGTCTTGTTAGTGGCAAAGAAGTGGTTAATGAAGTTCCCAATGAGAGATTACATATGTCGATTCCAAATTCTGACACACTTTGTAAACTCTGAAAAAGTACCATTATACTGATAAGGGAAACTCAGATTTATATACATTTATATCTTGGCCTTTTGCATAATGGCAAGTAATAACAAATAAGATAAAATCCAATGTAAAACTTACAACATAAAAAGCAGGTATGAAACACTAATCAAATAGCCCATTTTATGGCAATCTAAACTATAGTCATTTTTTTCATTTCAGTTATATAAATAGTGTTTTGTGTATGCACATATCATTCTATGGTTGAAAATGTGTTAAAACAAGAGTCTAGTATATCCTGTAAAGATTCTGTCATCTCCAAGTGTAATGTTCGAAGGCTGCTACTGATTTATGTTACACAATACTTTGAAGGTGATTCAGGCATTATACTATACTGGATTTAGATAGTAATGTAGACACCTTTGTTGCTACCTTCTACAAAACAGATTATTGAGTAATAGCAAGCAACATATCTGATCCCTAGGGGAAAGCATCTTTTCATACATTGGTGTTTCCAGTAGATTCTGTCATATCACACAATAATGTGCCCTGTTGATAAAATTGTGATTCTTTTGGTGCAGCTGTTCTTTGGTAGAGTGTCAGATCCCGTTTTTTGGATCTAACAGGTAGTCCTTGCGAGACTTACTAAGACTTCCATTCCTTTGGTGCATTTACTGGCAACCTGTTAAGACTATGTTGATTTCCTGTCATTACTATTGCTTATTGCATACATATGTATTGCATACATATGTTGTTCTATTCTTGGATTTCCTTTACTAAATCTACATCCTTTATCCACATGCAGTTGCTGTAGGCAATAAGAAAGGATTCTGACCATGTTTGAAGACTGAAATGTACACTGTGAGGGATATTTTTATATCTTAGTACCGCCAAAGAGGACTGGGCAAGGCATTAGGAGGAGAAATGCTTGGCAAAGGGTGTGTCAACAATGTCAAATTAATGCGATTTGACATCGCTTTAACTGCTGTGGCTACATGCTGTGGAATCCTGTGAGTTGTAGTTTTACAGGGTCTTCAGCCTTCTCTATCAAAGAGGGTTGTTGCCTCCCCAAAGCACAACTCCCAGCATTCTCTAGCATTGAGCCATGTCAAGCTGCTTTAAGTCTTAAATGTAGATGCATCCAAGTGGGAGACAGTAGGAGAATGTGGAAGATCACATTACAGGTGGATTGACTCACAAACTCTGAGTTTGTGAGACCTGGGCAGGACTGCTAAAAACCATGTCTCTTGGAGGTGTCTCATGTGAGTCATCACAAGGCTCAAAGCTGATATACTGGGTGATAAGCACAAAAACCACAAACATGTTGTCACTCTACAGCTTGCATTTCTGTGAAGGTTGGATCTCAGTCTTCAAAAACTAGTTACTCAGCAATCTGGCAGATTGCACGGAGAGTCTCCAAACTGCACAAAGGAGTGTGTACCGCATTGACATGGAACTTTTCCCTATCAAACGGACCAACAAGTGTGTGACTTGCATATAGAACCATATTGCTATGTAAACACACTTTCTCCTGTCACTTGGGCACTGTAATCACTGGAACTTCTTTATGTTTATCTAAAGAAAATTACCTTTCAGATTAATTTATGACATTGCCTTCAACTTGGATAAAAAGGGATCTATATTTGAATTAATGAAATAGGATTGGATGTTGTGTTTGTCCGGATTAACTATGTATTAAAACAAAATATGTGTAAATACAGGCAAAACATGGTCCCTTGCATGCACATTTACATAATAATTTAAAAATTAGACCTAGATTATGACACATCTAGGGAATTTATTGAAGTTAGGAAATGGAAACACATTCATTTATACAGCTCCTGAGTGTGCCCTACTTATTCCTCTCAAAGTGGATCCCACATTTAATATTGAGAAATCATTTCCAGTCCTTCCTTGTAACTGTTCTAAATATAGATTCCAACCCACTTTCCTTAGAATACAATGAGTGTTCGGGAATATATTGGGCAAGCATGTTTCAGTGCCAGTTGTTGGGAAAACTGCAATTTACAAGGAAAGATAATCTATGTAAAGCAACATTTATTCTGGCAGTACCCTATCATTGTAAAACTATGTGACTTCTATAATAAAAGATACAGTGTAACAATGGTTTAAGTGTTCAAAACACTTGATTTTAATAATGAGATTGCAATGTTTTTTATGTTTTAATATGCATTCAATTTTAATTTTATTTTTTTAAGAAAATTAATGTATTTTAACTGCCTGTTGTTCAAAGGCATTGAATAGTTGCTGTATGTAAAGCCGCCTTGAGTCCCCTTCAGAGTAGAGAAAGGCGGGATACAAATAGAGCAAATAAATAAAAATATCATTTGAAAAGTTCTGTTTGGAAGCATGTAAAAGTGCTCAGGAGTGCTGACTGCAAGAAAGATGACTTAAAAATCTCTCCTAGCACAGTCTTGCACATATTTAAGTATCATCAGTATATTATCTCTGATAGCTCTGTAGTTAAATAGCAATGACATTTTAATATGACAAAATAAGGCTATCTTGGCTTAAACTGAATATATAACAAAAATTCATTCCTTCCAATTATTAAAAATAAACCCTTTAAAATTTGATGCTATCCTATATTGCACTGTAATCGGGGAATACTCAGCACTTGACGTTAACAACAAAGCAACAGCTAAAAAAGCCAATGCAATTCTAGGCTGCCTCAATAGTCATAGTCCCACTCTGTTCTCCTTTGGTTAGACCTCACCTGGAATAACTGTCAAGTTCTGAACACCACAATTCAAAAAGGATATTGACAAGCTTAAACATATCCAGCGAAGGACAACCAAAATGATCAAAGATTTGGAAACCAGGCCCTATGAGGAATGGCTTAGGAAGTTGGGTATGTTTAGTTTGGAGAAAAGAAGACTTTAAATATTTGAAAGGATGTCACATTGAGGAGGGGGAAAACTTGTTTTCTGTTGCTCCAGAGACTAAGACACGGAGCAATGGTTTCAAATGGCAGGAAAAGCGATTCCACCTAAACATTAGGCAAAATTTCCCAATGGTAAGAGCTGTTTGACAGTGAAATATGCTGCCTCACAGTATGTTGGTGTCTCCTTTTCTGGAGGTTTTTAAACAGAGTGGATGGCCATCTGGCAGAGTGCTTTGATTGTAGATTCTTGCATGGCAGGGAGTTGGGCTGGATGGCCCTTGGGGTCACTTGGACCTCTATGATTCTAGGAAACCATGTCAGTCTCACTATAGAAACAAATTAAACAAGGAAAGCTATCTTGTATTCTTAAGAATAAGTAATTCACTTTAGTGAGAGTTTATGTGGATTTTAATTTATAAACAATCATGTTAACATAAATAAATTGCTACAGGAGCCACACTCTTTTTTAGTTTTATACTTGTGCCCAGATATTACAGTAAGAGAAGATGAGATACATTAATACTAAATGCCCTCATTATGCAATCGGCTACTCACTAAACCCTTGTTGTTTCCCTGCACAGTTTGAAACAGTGATTTTGAAAGCATTGTCAGTTTTGTCACCACCGTATCAGAAGGAACACCAATTCCCATATAAAGTTGGGCATTAAAGTCTTCTTCAAATACTTTTATCTGACTGCTTCTCTTTTAGGATTGACTTTAGAAGCAAATAGTACAAAGCATTTTCTGTCATGGCATTTTGTTTCGGGAAGTCCCTGAGACATCTCTTTGCTTCTAGGTACTAAGCTTTCAAAAACATGAACAGTGATTTGGATTTATTTTAATAAAAACTGATAATTGATGTTTATCTGATTGTGGTGGATAACTGTTGTAGTTGTTTTTTTTAAAAAAAAATGTTATGAAAACTGAGATGCTAAATTTTTCCTTAACATCACAGTGTAAGCTGTGTTGGATTTTCAAATCTCATTTTCCTTTTAAAAAAAAACAAAAACAAAACTTCTAATTTGTGCTTTCCAGTTTTTGGTGTTTGAGTGGAACACATTTCATTCTATGTGTATAAAACAGTCTTTTGTATATTGGAAACATGGTACCTTTCATTATGATAGGATTCTTATAATACTCAGAAAATGCCCCTAGTACTCTTCATTTTGTCCTACTGCATTAGCATTAAGAGTGCTAGATTTGGGTTCATAGCAAGCATAGTACGTACAAAAACATCTGGAAAGATCTCATTTATTCCAGATTCATGATCCAAATTATGTAAGGTACAGATGATTGGGTTAAGACAGTGTAATTCAGAAATGAGGAGGAGTGTGCAATATACACACTTTCTTACAGTGAAACTAAAGGTGTGGGTCACACATAATCAGGATAGCACTAAGCATGGTGTTGAGAAAGATGTATCAATGCTGCTGATTACTTGCTGAGAAATCTACTGACTTTATAAGCAGCACTTTTACATTTTGTAATTGTTATATAATGTTCGGGTTTAAACAATGAAGGCGATCAGTTTAACATTAGAATCATTTTATTTTGGGGATAAGTCAGTATTGTTGGATGTCACTCCATTCTCCAGAGCCCCCTTGTGCCAGCAGGGCTGAAAACCGTCAGGTCAGAGGTTCGAATCTGGGGAGAGCGTGGATGAGCTCCTTCTATCAGCTCTAGCTCCCCATGGCCAATTCTCTCACACCAGAAGCGACTTGCAGTTTCTCAAGTCGCTTCTGGCACAAAAAACTCTCCATTCTCCACAAACATTTTAACTGACAAATTGTTCTCTCTTGGAAATTTTGTATAACTGGCAGATTTGTTTCTGCCTCTACTTAAACAATGTATTAACTTATTCTGGATTTTTGTTTTGTTTTGTTTGTAACAGACAGGAGTCTGTTTCGAGGGCGCGTTTAAACAGATTCGAGGGTGCTTTTTAGCAGATAATTCTGTATAAAGAGCTTTCTGGACATCCAGAGTTTGGAAAAGTTCTTATCTATAATTCAGGATTCAAAGTACAGTGACAACCCCACACTAATTTCTTGTTGCAAAATCAAATGCTAAAAAATATTACATGTACTTTAAAACATATACACAATCTGTTTACCCCGCAGCCAACAGCAAAGAAGCAGAATAGCTCTGGAATCATTTCTCCATACATGGCCCAAACCATTTGAGGATTATGGAAATCTTTCAGCAGTTTTGCATTCAGAACTTATTTATCCCTATACATTATCTCTGAGCACAACCTTTGACTGACAGAATTTCTGCATACAGTACTCTTTTTTTTCATAAATGTGTGATGATGTCATTTCTTTCAAATGTACACATACACTCCCTTTTCCCATGATTCCTAAAATAAAAATGCTGAAGCTCTCCAGTTGTAATAAAAGTTCCCAGAGGCATTTCAGAATCTATTTCAGCTTGATTCCACTCCATTTTTGAATATTATAATGAAATAAGATTTTCTCACATCAGGATACATTTTGCAAGTTAATGTATAAATAAAATAAACCTCCTTTGTTCATCTCGTGTTTGGCTTGATGTCCTCAGCATTTTACCAGTGATGTAACCCACTCTCTCAGGATATAGTTGGAAATATTTTTTTTTTCTTGTAAGCCTTCCTTGGTTTTAAAATGAGAACTTTGTGCAAAGAAATATTCTATTGACTTGGAAAATTAAAAGTGAGCTCTCGTCTTTAAGCTGCTCCTGGCATACGTCCAAGAGAAACTAGTTTAGGCACACAAAACATGCATAGCAAATTAGTATTCATGTACCTAAGTAATAAAGCTCTACAAACATATCTATCCGAAACACTTTCTAGTTTTGCAAAGGGCAAACACCCACTGTTTTTAACTCATCCTGAGCCTTTTAAATTTCACAGTGCCCTATTTTGTATAATTTAATCAAAAAATAAAAATAAGCTACTTACCTCTTTTTTAAAATCCCGAGGTTTCTGAAGTCTCTTGTGCGTCTGCTTTAGGATCTGGAGTTGAAGGTAATTCACAATATCCTTGTGCGCATAAATAATAACACTGGAGTATGAGCTTCTTTAAAACAGTTTCTGCTTTGCTTAATCCTCCTAGAGCTTAATAATCACTTGGAAAATACATCTTGGAAAGCTGTGGAGTGTGAGAGTATTGACTGGTGACGATATACTACAGTAGAAGAGCAAATTGGTTACTTTACGGTTGGAGAATCTGGTTCTGCCTGTTGGGAGACCTAGTCTTGCTTCCAAGGCGGGCCATTCTATTATAATTAGGCAATACCAGGAAGTGCTTTTGCTTGCCTCCCTCCTTATTGTACTTTTTTCCTTGCAGTGGAAATACCTGTTACTTAATACGATTTCATTCCAAAAAATAAATCCTCCGAACATTAGATTCTTGGCATACAAACTGCAGAGAATTTATTAAATATATGCCCTCAAAATGAGTTAGGAAACCACAGAGAGCCCCCCTTCAGCCCCCCCCCCCCGAAATTTTCATGGTGGTTTGCGAAAAGGCCTTATTGGTGCATTATTTAAACTGTTATGTTTATTCATATCATGATCTGATCACCATACTCAATATATCCCATATGCATGGGGGTATTGGGGTAATGATACAAAAGGTTTGCTAGGCTAGACCCTCTTTCACTCAGACTCAGCCCCCCCCAAAACTCGCCCCCCCAAACCCCCCTGAAAAAAATTCACCCCCCCACCCCCAAACTCAAGGTCAATGCCCATCAAACCCTTCCAGTGTTTTCCATTGGTCATGGGAGCCAAGTTTGGTTCAAATCAATCGCTGGTGGAGTTTAGAATGCTCTTTGATTATAAGTGAACTAAATCCCAGCAACTACAACTCCCAAATTACAAAATCAATCCTCCCCCAACCCCACTAGCATTCACATTTGTG